TCGGCGGTGTGACGTCTTACCCAGATTCAGATGAGACCTCGTCATCCCTGTGGGGCTGCGATCTGCGAAACCTTTGCCATTTTCGAGGGCTGCTGGGGGTCCAGTGGAGTGACGTCGTACCCAGACTACCAGGAGACGTCGCCATCCCTGTGGGGCTGCGATCTGCGAAACCGTCGCCACTTTCGAGGGCTGCTGTTCCAGCTGAGTGGCGTCTTACCCAGATCACCAGGAGACCTCGCCGTTTTTGTGGGGCTGCGATCTGCGAAACCGTCGCCACTTTCGAAGGCTGCTGGGGGGTCCAGCGGAGTAAAATCTTATTCAGACCACGAGGTCGCCTCGCCAGTCCTGTGGGGCTGCGATCTGCGAAACCGTCGCCACTTTCCAGGGCTGCTGTGGGGTCTTGCGGAATGATGTCTTGCCCAGACCACCAGGAGACCTGGCCATCCTTATGGGGCTGCGATCCGCAAAACCGTCGCCACTTTCGAGGGTTGCTGGCGGCCCAGCGGTGTGACGTCTTTCCCACATTCAAATGAGACCTCGCCATCCTTGTGGGGCTGCGATCTGCGAAACCGTCGCCACTTTCCAGGGCTGCCAAGGGGGCCCGGCGGAGTGACGTCTTACCCAAATTCAGATGAGACCTCGCCGGTTTGGTGGGGCTGCGATTTACGCGGAGTGACGTCTTATCCAGACCATTCGGAGACCTCGCCATCCCTGTGGGGCTGCGATCTGCGAAACTGTCCCCCTTTTCGACGGCTGCTGGGGGTTCAGCGGAGTGACGTCTTACCCAGACCACCCGGAGACCTCGCCATCCCTGTGGGGCTGCGATTTGCGAAACTGTCACCACTTTCAAGGGCTGCTGGGTGTGCCATTGGAGTGACGTCTTACGCGGACCACCCGGAGACCTCGCCACCCCTAGGGTCCAGCGGAGTAACGCCTTTTTCTGTTACCTGGGGGTTGTTTCGAGTTCCGGGGTCGTCAGAGTCCCGGCAGGGGTGCAGGATAGATTTTGAGGGGTCCAGAGGCGGCGGAGGAGGAAAGGCCGAGGAGGATAAGGTGGCGGAAGAGGAGGATGGGGGAGACGAGGTGGAGGAGGAGGAGGAGGAGGAGGAGGAGGAGGAGGAGGAGGAGGAGGAGGAGGAGGTGGAGGAGGAGGAGGAGGAGGAGGAGGAGGAGGAACGGGCGGAGGATGTCCGGCACGTGTTGCTGCGGCGGCGCCAGCGCGGTTCTTGCACTACGTATAATCAGTTTTCAGGTTTTTTTCGAGCGCCGCGGCGACATGGCGCAGGCAACGCTGCATCTGTAGTGTACTACCGACAGAAACAACGCTCTTCGATCTCCTCCCGTCAGTGTCGTTGTCGTCCTCTGCCCCCTGTTACCTTCCCTCTGCTGCTGCCGCGCTGACGGTTCGGCCCCCCGCGCGACCTTCTCCTGCCTTTCGTTACCGCCCCCATGTCCTCCTCAAGCCTGGGCCCTCGCTCCTCGTCCTTCTGTTGCCGTCCTGTGAACCCTGCCACGTGGGCGCATCCCGTGTAGCTTGCGCATCATATAACTGCGCCTGCACTGTCATTGTTCTGGCAAGTCTGGGACAATTCCTCTTGTCACTTGATGTACATGGTTTGAATACGTCACAGGGTAATGGGCACGCCTGGGGAAACGGGCGAGAAAACACAGATACAGACGGAAAGCGTCTGTCAAAACACCCGACGAATGATCATTGAATGGCCTTCGGGTCTGGGATGGCTGATGGGGTCTCGTGGGAGGCGTATCGGGGGCGTCTTGGAGGTAGTTGTTGAACCTCTTGGGAGCCTCCTGGGGGCCTCTTGGGGGCTTTCTGCGGCCATCTGGGGGCTCCCTGGGGGCCTGTTGGGGGCTCCTTGTGGCAACCAGGAGGCGTCTTGGGGTGGATGACTCGAAATGTCCGTTCGGGTTCCCCCTCTGGGCCCCCTCTTGGGGCTGCCTTGGGTCCCTCCTGGGCCGTCTTGGGGGATTCTTGGGCCGTCTTGGGACCCTCTAGGGTCGTCTTGGAACCCTCTTGGGAAGTTCTTGGCCCGTCTTGGGGCGAACTTGAAAGCTTCTTGGGCCGTCTGGGACGTTGTGAACGCCCAAGGGGCGAATGTGCGAAAAGTGCACGTTTTCCAATGAGAATTGCACTATTTTGCTTGTGGAGGCCCTCTTGAGGGCTTCTTGGCCTTTTGGGCCGTCTGGAGGCCAGCGTGGGCGTTTTCGATCGTGGCCCTCGTGGGCCGCCCCAGGGGCTTCTTGGGGCCCTCTAGAGCTGTTTTGGGGCCCTCTGCCCTCCAAGATACGTTCACCCGGATCCCGGGGGACCCTCCCCTTCCCCCTCCGAATCGACCGGACTGGCCTCCTGGGGGATGGTTTTGGGGAGCGGCAAGCATTTCACACGTCCATGAACCCCAATGGGTCGGCGTGTTTTTTTCGCGAAGGGACGAGCGCAAACAGTATTTCCGAGACGCCAACCGCTCTTCTGACAGGCCCCGGGGGCGGCGGATCTAGCGGCCTTCGGCTCATATTGCCACCGTGCCTGGGTCGTGGAGAAGAGGCTTCTTGGGTGCCTCTTGGATGCAACTTGGGCCTGCTTATGGGGTCTCTTGGAGGCCTCTACGACCTCTCGAGGCCTTCCTGGGCGCCTGTTTGTGGCATCTGAGGGCCTCTTGAGGGCCTCTGGGGGCCTCTGGGGGCCGGCTGGCTGTCTCATGGGCCATCTTGGGGCATGCACGCACGCACGCAGCCAGGCGCCTACACGGCGCATAGGCAGGAGGGCTCCAAACGGCAGTTCGAGCTCCCCCTCTTGGGCCCTTCTGGTGGTTTCCTGGGAGCCTCTTGGGCCCGCTTGGGGGCCTCGGAGGCCCTCTGGGTGGGTCTTGGACCCCCCCTTGGGCCGTCTTGGACGTTCAGACCAAGTGGAACGTATGCGAACATCTTGTGCCTCCTGTGCTGGCCCCCAGGGTCTCCAAGACAGCCCAAGACGCCCCCAAGAGAGCTCCAGGAATCCCTTTGGGCTGCAGATGATGAGCTTCGGCGTGTTTGGCTCCTGAAGGCCCACGTGGCAAGCGCCAGGAGGGCCCAAGAGCGTCCAAGATTTTCCCGCAAATAGGTGGTCCCGGCCGTCAGCAATCCTCATTCCGCTCACTTTGCCATCCATGAGGCATTCCACTACATGCTGAATGCACCGTGGCAGAATTCCCAGTAAGCATTTTCCGCCACACAGAAAGCAGTTCCGAAGGATTTGAAGCACACCGCGGCGGCGGATAATCTTTGTGTGAGAGAGAGCTTGTTATCAATCGTTCACGGCGTGTGCCATCCCTCTATCGCGTTTGCGTGCGTCGTTCGTCTCGCGAAGATGTGGCGGACATGGACATATGCTTTCTAGACTTCTTGGTTGTTTACCAGAAGGAGAGTTTGTTTCACAATTAGCCTCAGGTAGGTATACTCCTTTGAAAAAGAAGGCCATTTGCTTTCATCCCCTTCTCTTCTTTCGTCTTCTTCTCCGCCTCTTTCCTCCAGGAGTCGACCTAAACAGTGCTTTGGCGATCCCGTGGGCCGTTTTCGTTTCGATGTTTGAAGCAAAGGCGAACTCTAGACAACGAAAACGGCATGACAACGAAACACACTATTTAGGTCGACCCCTGCTTTCCTCCTCCTTACCGGACCACACCTCCCATTCGTTTCGTCTTCTCTCTCTCTTCCCCTCTTCGTCCCTCTCCCCTAGGAGGAGGAGGAGGAGGAGCAGGAGGAGGAGGAGGAGGAGGAGGAGGAGGAGGAGGAGGAGGAGGAGGAGGAGGATGCGTTCGCCCTGCTTTGGATGGCCTCTGTTGGGGGCCCCTGCGCCTCCGGGACACCTCGACCCCCTTGGGTGCTGCCGAGCGTGCCACCGCCGCCCGCTTCCTGCACCTCTGGGGCGGCCGCCAGTACCCGGACATCCCGCCGCTCCAGTTTTTTCGAGGCGTGGGCCCCAGGGGTCTGGACCACTTCCCAAGATCGCCCAAGAGTGCCCCAAGATGGCCCCAAGAGGTGCCCAAGAGGGGGAACACGAACCGACAATTCGAGCCTTCCACCCCAAGAGGCCCTCAGGAGGCCCAAGAGGCTCCCAAGAGGGCCCCCCAGAGGCCCCCCCCGGGCCCCACGAGGCCCCAAAGAGGCCCAAAGAGAGGCCCCAAGAGAACCTCCAGGGCTGGCTTTTTGTCCTAAGTCGTTTTCTGACGGTCCAGAGGCCTGGCGATGGCCCCTGGAGGCCGGAAGCGGCTAAAAGCCCGCCGCTCTAACTGTTTGGGAGCGTCGGATCTCTGGGAAGTGTGCACGTGCACTGCACGCTTCCCTTTCCTCTAGAGTCGGCCTCCCCTCCTGGGGTGTTGACAGCCGCCCCTGTCCTGCACGCAAGGGTTTCGGCGGAGGGCCCCCCGAAGCAGAGCCAGACGAGTCCTTACCCACACGGCTGGTTCCAGACGCGTAAGGTCAAGACGCTGGGATGAGGACCACTTTGTCGGCGGCGCCCCCGGGGGGCAAGTGAGGGGGGAAGTGGTTTTCGGGCGTCGTCGTCGGTTCTCGGCGGTGCTCCGGCCTCGGGATGCTGTTCCAGCAGCTGCGCCTCGCCGAGGGCGTTCCGGGGGTGCCCTGATCGTCCCGAGCGGACGCCGTAGAGCCAAACTATGAACGATAAACCAGGCGGCCGAGAGGGGGCGGGCCTGCTCGGAAGGCTCGAACGTCTTCCGGATTTCTGAGAAGTTTTCTAAACCTTCCCCGAAAACGCGAACAGCTTCTTAGAAGGCCCGAGGGCTTCGGAGAAGCCCCGCCGCCTTCTGAGAGGGCCTTCTCCTTCTCACTTCCCCCCCTGGCTCGCCGCCGACTTTGGGGTTCACGAGGGGCTAGGGTGGGTGGTGTGGGCGGGGGAGGGGGGGCGGAAGGTGGGAGGCGGGAGCCAAACTCGCAGAGCAAGTACTTTCCTTTTGAGTACGCGTTGCATGATGCATTCACGATGCAAGGACATTGCGGTGACAAAGAACGCCTTCATCTGCCGCGTCCGGAGCAGGAGGGCCTTGCGACTACTTGACCGCCCGCAGTCACGGAATTGGTTCCGGGATATTGCGTCCGAGTCATGCCCTGAGGCGACACGCCAGCTTGCATTCACGCTCGGTGCCACGTAATGTTCGTATGTCAGTGGGCCTTCTGCCGCATCGATTGGGTTTGCTTCGAATTGACGGTTGACGCACCATCTGGCGCGTCTTTCCAAGAATTCCGCAGTTCGAGAATTCCTAATTGTGCTTTGTTTGCCCGGGGTGCGTCGCTGCGGGAGCGGGAAGAGTCCAAGCGTCTAACACCCCAGGTGTCGTAAACATGCGGAGCCAACACGAACCTAGGTGCTGGACCGTCGAAGCGCAGGCGCGCTTCCATTCCTAGGTTTCTCGACGATTTCGAATCGCCCCGAGCTCCTCCGCTTACGAGTAGCGTCACGTCCAGTGCTGAATCGGAGGTCGTGGGGGGGGGGGGGGGCAATCGGCGCCTGCGGGGCGCGGCTGCGCGGGCCCAGCATTATCCCCCAAAGAGATGGGGAACGGAGGAGGGACTGGTGGCTCGTGTCAGCTTCGTCACCTTCCGTGGTCAGAGGCCCAACGAACCCACGGGCTTGACCGACGGCTGCGACGTCCTCATCGGTTCAATGAGCTCTCTCTGTCTCTCTCGTTTTGTTGCATTTGCCTCCATTTCTCTTTCATACACTCCCACTATCTTTCTCTCTCGCTCTCCCTCTCGTTTTTTTTTGTTTATTTGTTGGTTATATATATATTATATATGTCTCGTTATGTCTACTCTCTCTTTCTCTCTCCCATTGACTCGGAGCGACCCTGTCCTCTCTCGCCTCGCGGGGTGCGTGGGGCGCTGTATATAACAAGTACCCATGTTCCGCTGCTTACGAATGCGTTTGATCAGTTTATTCGCCAGGCTTGTTCGTCTCCATATCTCAAGTGGGTTGTTGCTATTAGATTGGCGCCTCCGTTTCGCCTCCTTCAACCTCTCGTCGTCAGATCCACTTAAACCCAGGCCATTCACTCACATATTCACTAACACGCATACTCGATCGCACTAATACTTGCCCAGTCCAGCCCACACGTAGGTCATTCATACTCAGAGCCGCTTACTGTTTACTTGAAGACGGACTTGTACTTCAAATTTACCCAGTCTCGGACTTCGTCATGCTCATACTCGCCCAGACTGGTCGTCGCGCATGGCACGTGTGCCTCCCAAGGGGTCGCCAGGGAGCTTGGCACTGGCCCGTTCTCGCGCAGTACGTTGAGACGTCTCAAGAAGTATTGCCGGTGTGTGTGTGTGTGTGAATGTGTGTGTGTGTGTGTGTCTCATGGTGCCAGGCTCGGTGACATGTTGCCGATGGGCCATGGAGGGGAGGCGTCAGTAGGCATGGCCCCTCCATGTCCAGTCGGCACCTGTCCAGTGTGCAGGCTCGGCGCTAGGCCCGGGGCTGCCGTTTTTTTCGGCGCTAGGCCCGCGCCAGTTCCGGCCTTTGTGCCTAGCACTCGTCACTTGCCTGGCCGCCTTCGCTTTTTTCTTTCCTCGTGCCTGCCTCGGGGCCCTCCCCCGTCTGTCTCTTCCTGCGTCCACGGTCGTTCGCCAGTTGTTCGCTCGCTTTCCTCATGCCGCCATGCGGGCAGCCCCACGGTTGTGCATTCTTCTCCACGCTGTCCACGCCCGGACGGCTTATGGCGTTCTCCACTTCTCATGCAGCCGTGGTGAGTCCATGGTCTTCCGTGTACCCTCCCTGGCATCTACGCCCCAATGGTTGATACCGGCAGGTTTGCATCCTAAGCGATGTTGCGGGCCCGCCCGTCGTTCGCACTAGTTCTCACCGTTGCCCTTTCGGCACCCCGTCGCTGCGTGCGAGGCTGCTACCTATGTATATATATATATATATATATATATATATATATATATGTGTGTGTGTGTGTGTGTGTGTGTGTGTGTGTGTGTGTGTGTGTGCGTGTATGTCGCCCCAGAAAGGGCACCTCCGTAAGCGGGTTGTCGGGCCACTGTGCCCCCTGGTGCAGCACCGTTCCCTCGGTCCTCAAGCCCCCGCTCCTGGGACGGCCCACGAAGCGGGGTCCCCTACCCAAGGGGTCGCGTGGTGCGCAGCCCTCCGTTCGATCCCGGGGGGCCCTCCGTGGGTTCACCGTTTCGGAGGTCGCGCCGCGCGGTCCGTCCTCTCTGTCGTGTCGTCGCCGCCGCTATCGTCGTCGGTCTGGGGAGGTCCCCCCTCCCGTCGCCGGTTTGGTGGAAGACGCTGCTCGAAAATTGTCTGGTGGCGCGGCTCGCGAGGTGCGAGGGGTGCGCGATGCC